CCTGAATTTCTGTGGAATATTTCATTGAGTAATTTTCTGAGAAATCACTGTGAATCAACACCTCATTCGGATTCAGTTTTGTCTTAAGCATCTTTATGGCACGGAACTGATGTATGACATTTCCTTCATGGTATAAATACTTAATATAATCATCGTTGAAGGTGTTTACAGCATCCATGACTGAAACAGTTATTTTATCTTTCACCGTGTGTTTTACAGATCGAGTTTTATTGTTTTTGTCAGTAAAATTTTCACTTTTTACTTGCCATTTGAAGTAGGTGACTGTAGCATCTGTATCAAATAAATTGTAAGGAATTTGTAAGTCCTTGCAATTACCACACATTCTTTGCAAACAGGCTACATTATCAATATGACAACATACATGACGAGCAAACTCTTTTATGTTAGAATTGTCAATGATGTTCTTCTTAAATAACGCTGAAACTAAGAACTCAATGTTTGCATGAACTTTGCACAAGCATGTATCTCTTTCGGAAACTTTATGTTGTACAACCCAAAATGGCTTTAATTTACAAAATGATACATACCCAATTTTATAGTTAACTTTTCCTAGGAATTTAATATGACAACGTTTCAAGGTATCAGTTAGAAATCTTTTTTGTTTTTTTATTTTATGCCTTGTTATACAATCTTTTTTACCTGGACACACCATCGACACTTCATCATCTTCAAAAAAATCACGAATATCTTGTTTGACTAGTTCATTTATCTTACTTACTCTAGTTTTGATCTGCTTATTATTGGTCAGTATACGTGAACTGTTGAATACCTTGGTTGAAATTTTACCACGCAAATCACACAATAAGTTATATTTTTTAAAAAAATTTTTATTCCCAACCAAAAGTTCACCAAACTCTCTTTTTTTTCGCCGCGAAGAGAGCAATTTGAAATGTTGTGTTAACTGACATTTCATTGCTTCACCAAACAACAATTTTCGTCTGATAACTTTTTTATTTCCATGTTTCATTAGTTCTGAAACTACTTTTCCTGGAGACTTTTCATCACTTTTTTTATTGCACATTCTCCAGCATCTTTGCCGCCATTTATTTGACTGCTGTGTTAAAGCAGTTACCTTTTTCAGTAGTTTTTTGTTATCCCTAACTACTTTTGCTCTATCTCTACGCATTTTTTTTTTCCCTGTTCGTTGACGTGAGAGCACTATCTGTGGAGTTGTCAGTGCATCACTGTCTGGAGGAGAATTTCGTGTCATGTATCTATCCATATCTATTTGCTTTTTTTTTTTATTGTAAGCTTTTTTTGCCTTTGTTTTCCATATTTTTCTCTTCACCCTCAGTTCTCGGTCACTCATATCTTTAACTAGTTTTACTTGCTTTTTGTTTTTTTTTGCTTCATATTTTTTACGTTCTTTTTCTGCTTCAATAGCTCTCAAAACTGGGTCATTATTTATCTTCTCTCTTCTTTTTTGATGATACTCTCTCGCTTTTGCTTTTAACTCCTCCTTGCTCAGTTTTTTTTTTGGTGCCATAATCTAAACTCTTACAGTGTACACGAGTGAGACTACCTATTAAATAAAAACCATCAATCACTATAAATGTATGGGCCGAGACCGAAACAATAATAGTTTGTGTGCCCGGTACCGAAATACTTCGTACGCAAGAACACTCACACACCAACCGATATGTATAACGTATAATATGTGTATGTGCAACTCAAGAGTAGTGGACGGGGTCTCCGAGCATATACTCTGAGTGCTAGGTAATGTGCGGTGGGTGTGTAAGTATGTATTTGTGTGTGTGTGTACTTATAATTAATAATAAAATGATAACATGTTTAAGGTAAATAAATATGTTGCTGTATAATACACGACGTCAATAATAATTTATTTTACAAATATATAGAAATTACAGCAACCCAATAATATAATAATAAAACAATCTAGATAGATAATAATTTTGGCCGTTTGAGTTGTAAACTCGTAAAAGTATAATATTAATATAAGCTACTGGCTCAACAATATAATATAATAATAATAATAAGGCAAGCTATTAGAGCTGCTAAAGAATATAGTAATAAAAACTCACGTATTTGGCGGTGCACTGCTGGCCAGCTGCTACCCTTGCCTAAATAATATTAAAAATAATAGACGGTACACGTAAAAATAATAATACACAATGCGCTATAAGGATTGCCTTTATGGCTCACAATAATAATAATGGAAAATTGGCAATTCGCGCCTCAGCTTAAACAATATAATTTAAACTGGCGACCGGCACACTCAATAAATTTGCGTCTTGATGAAAGTTGTGTGTGAACTGATTGGATTGAGGCGACCGAGAGTTATAATAATTACGCGGCTGCATGCGATAACGTGCTTCGTAATCTACATAATATTATATAACGTGCAGCTGGCAATCATATTCCAGAATAAAAATAATAACAATAATATACCTTACTGGTAAAAACAAATAATATATTGTGTACGTGTAGTGTGAGTGTGAGTCGGTGGTGGTAAGCGGCCTTAACATATCAATAATAATGTTGTTGCATTTCGGGAGGCAACAATAAATAACTTGAAACAACAATAAAATGTATAAAAAAAATACAGTATTCTCTCTCCCTAATTTGTATTCTCTCTCCCTACAAATTTAATTTTTTAAATTATTTTAGGGAGAGAGACTGTAGGGAGAGAGGTTTTGACAGTTAGCAATCATTATTGAT